GCCAAAGCACAAAGCTTTATCAAATTGATTAACAGGCTAATTCAATTAACACTAATCAGTATCAAAAGGGTTCAAGAACAAATCTTTATTCAATTAGTTCCAAAGACGATTCTAATTCTACTACCATCAAACCAAAAGATCAAGTCTTTGTTCGTACCACACACAAAATTTGACTCTAAATCAAGAAACACAGATCAAAACCTCTAAAAGATGCAAACTTTATGAAATCAATAAGAACAATTTGAAATCTTTTCACTCTAAAACATAATCAAAACCATAAACCTGTTTCTGGGGCCAAAATCAAGATTAAAAATTGGGGAAAAATCGGAACTTTAGAGAAAACTACGAACCTCTAGAGTCAAATATGAGAAGCGATCATGAACAATTTAGAAGAAAGATGAAGTTTTTATTGGGTGTGAAAGTAAGTGAATGGAATCTGAAAAGTGTAGTTGGTTTTGATAAAAGAGGAGGTTCCAATTGTTGTTAATATATAGCAAAGCAATATCAAAAGCTTCCAATGATCTTTTAACCAGAGAAGCTTAACTATGGTTAGTCAATCTAGTTAACTCTATTTCAGTCTTTCAGGTTGATTTGATCAACCATGGTTACTTTATATCATCTATTGTACTTGCTTGCATTTTTTTATTCCAGTTTGTTTAAATTATAAAGAGATAAATACATACACTGCCAAAATAATAATAATCCATGTTTTTAAAAGGAAAGATATTAATAAGTAGGGTGTTTCTATTGTTTATATGCTTGGCACTAACTTTTTTTTTGTTTGTTTGTGTTACTGAGAAATTACTAGTGGTAAACATTTTAACAATTTTAATTTTATCTTTGACTAATATATATTTATTTAATACCGTGTTCTGGTTAAAAAGAAAAGTTAACATTGTATTTTACGTTCTATTTACAGTGTAATACCACAATCAATGTTTCTTTAAAATACTTTCTCCGTTTTTTTATAGTTGATGTTTAAGGAATTTTTTTTGTTATTATTTGTAAACTAAAACATAATTTTTTTTGACGAAACTAAAACATAATTTATTATCTACCTAAACACAATTCGATCAATAATAAAACATTCTACATAATATAAATCATCAAAACTTATAAAGAATAATTAATTTTGCATTGAAAGTTGAAAACATCATCTATTTTAAAATAATTTTTTCCTAAAACATCAAATAATTATCAAAACAATATTAGTGTTTTGTTATATTATGTGGTCAATGTAATCAAACAATTGTTGCATTTCGGAAATTGTAATTTTTTTTTGTCATCAGAAATCGGAAATTGTAATTATATACATACGTAATAGGCATTATTTTAAGTCAATAATCATCAAAAAAATATTAGTGTTTCAAGATATTTTTAGATATATTTCCCCGTATAGATACTATCAATTTTTAAGGTATTTTATGTAAATATTCTTAGCATATTTTTGGCTTAAGATCTATTATGTTATTTATAGTTGGTAAATTTTCAGCTAGATTTTTATTTAATATTCGAAAATATTTCACCTTTTATTATTGTATCCAATATCTGTATCAATTTTTAAGCAAAAGTATTAAAAAAAAAGCATTCAAACACAAAAATCAAAATGAATTTATTTTTGTTGATAATTTTGGAAGTAAGATTAAAAAGATTGAGAAACTAGTTAAACAAAAAAAAAAAAATAGGAAACCGATACAGAGATATTCACTTTTAAATATGAAAAGAATGGATGGAATAAAGATGAATGAAATATGGAAACAATGAATAATTTTAATTTATTCATTTGTATACAACACAATACAGAAATACTTCTCTTTTAAATTAATTCATTTTCAGGTAATTAAAGGCTGTTTATTTTTCTATTTTCGCAAATGGTGGAATTTTAGCAAAATGCATATAAATAATCTGTTTCACCATAATTATTCATCTAATAAAAAAAAAAATTTGTAGCCTAAGTATATATTTATGTTGTTATCCTAGCTGAAGACTAATTTGTATAGTTTATATCATCCTAAAGATACTTAAACACAACAACATGATGAAAAATGATATAACAATAAAAGCATACACCAAAAAACAACTAGAAACCCAACATACCTAACTACATATGTAAATTTTTGAAACCATCAAAACCACTTTCACTCTAATAGTCTAATAGATATTCTTCTATATCGCAACAGTAGAATAATTTCTACCCAAATATGCACGTTTAAATTGTTTTTATTATAAGTCTTGAATTTGAGTCTCTTACCACTTTTACTAATAAGTTATGAATCGAAACATTTAGAATTCCATTATAAGCATTTTATGAGTTAGGTGGTAACTGCTTTCTGCTCGTTTGTTTATATGATCAGAGTAGGTATCGTGGAGAGCTATATATTGCTAGTTTCTATAAATACGATGAGACAATCATACAAGATACGAACCAGAATTTAATACTAGTATTATTCTAGCTTAAACTAATACTTGATTTTTAAAAATGTCATACAAAAAACCGACATAAGAGTTATGGAATTGATTCGAACAAAAAAAGCGTTATGATATTGATTTGTCGTTTTCCCAATCTGAATAAAACATGTCACGACACATTAGTTACGTTATATTGAGTAATTTTCACGTTGGCCATGTGTCCTCTATCGGACCCTCACAGGGCCTGTGGGTTTCATGTTCCACAATTTTGTTTTCATTATTTACTTCTGTCTTCTTCCTCTCTTTTTTGAATTATTTTGATGTGTACACCAAATTGTAATTTGGCATTTTCTCCACATATATAATGTATTTGTAAGAATACTCCAACGCTCCACATGGTCCGACATTATCGATAGGAGAAAGTTTTATTTAACCATTAGGCTAAGCGCTCTAAAAAAACTTTTGAATTTGAGCTAATGAAAATGTTCGAAACTATAATGTAACTAGGTTTATACACTACAAGAAATTTGGGCATTAATAGCACTTTACGATAGCACGGATTTTGCAATTGCTATTAAAGATGGTATTCGAAAAATAGAATAAAATCCCCCCACCCCCCTAAATTCTTTCTACAACGTCGTTTACTCATTCCATTCTTTTAGTTTCAAACTTACTTATTTTTTTGATAAAGGTTCTAATTTTTTTTTGTTTTTTTTTTTTGGTATTAATGTTAAATATTTACAGTATACCATTTTCGATAATTCTGACATGAAATACAGATATATACTAGGAGCGGAAAAAACTGAAAATCTAAGGGCGAAAAACTACAAAAAAAAAAAAAACGAAAACCCGATTAGTAGAATCCCGAAAAGAAACACCGATTACTAGTAATAAGTAAATTTTCAATCTTACTTATTACTAGTAGAAATAAGTAAAGAATTATGAAGAGAATTTCATACTTTTCACGATGTCTATGATTTCTATCAGTAATTACTAATCCGGAATGGAAAAAAACTGTTTAAGATTATTCATCCGATAATATGGATGGAGGAAAAGCACAATCATAGTCACATATAGTGCATACCAATCATAGTTACGTATTTAGAAGGAAATAAATTTAAAAATATCACACATAATTTTCTCATATTTAGGAAGAGGTTTTTGAGAGATTAGGCATATTCTCCCGGAGAATGCCATGGTATGGCTTGAGACCCTAAGTCCTTCTTACCTTAAAAAAAAAAAAATTAAAGAGACAAGATCATATGAAAACATGTATCGATAAATTGGTATGCTCAAAAAGAATTTAAAATGGTCTTTCGGATTGTTAAGTCGATTGGCTTTATACAATTTGTGAGTTGTCTTATATGTTACAAGTAGTTTCTATTATGCATCTTCTATTTTATTTTTATTTTATAATGAAATGTTAAATTTATTGCTGCAAATCTATAAATTATTTATATGAAAAGTGAAAGTTTGAAACAACATTAAGAAATCTAAGAAGATCCATGACCATCTTTGAGAAGAAGAACAAGTTTCGGTGAGTACTCTTGGTAACGAAGGGAGCTCACTAGTCACCCTGTTTCGGACTACCGTATTATGCATCTTCTATTACTTTTCACTAAAAAGAATTTGTATAATATAAAGAGGTTCATTATTTTTATATTAAAAAAAAACAATTATGAATTTGAAACTAACCAAAAGAGGGGAAAAAAAACTAAAATCTAAATTTATTTTGACAATGAATATTAGATTTGATTAAAATTTGATTTTTACTTTGGATACTAAAATATTAATAACCTCAATATCCAAACCAATATTAGATACTATTGAGCTTGAACTATATGAAATTAAGCTTTTTAATATATTTGATATGTGAAGAAAAATATTAATCCCACACATGGCATGGAAAAAAAAACTCAATAAAATAAAAGCGCCTACAAAATTTAAAATAAAGAAAAATAACTTTTTTTACTGCAAATAACTAATATGTTATGTGAAATAAAATTTACAATAACCAAATTTGCGTCTCCGTATCTAACACCCTAAAATAAAAATAAAAACCCAATGATAACTTGCCTGAGGGAGTTTTGCTGAGCAGACAACGTAGTCGACGAATTGCAAGAGATCATCTAAACCATCTCTTTTATTCTCTGCATCAATTAGAATAGGTATCTTCTTGCGACTTGCCTGCTCTGGATAAACGCACAAGTGCAAGAGGAAATGAACATGTAGGTTGTGTGGCATTTTATGTTTAAGACACACAAGAAAAAAAGAATCTTGTGAAATTTTCAAACATCATGAAACCCTAGAATTTCGAATTGGTAAAGAGTCATTAAAAAAATTTGCATCGAAAAGATTTAGATTGGTGATTTAGAATAAGGTAAATAGATTAGTTACTCTAATATTTTATTTGTTTCAATATTTAATTCAATTTTAAAAATTTAACTAGATTATAATTCAAAAGACTTCATAAATTCTTATTACCCATAATTAGAACAAGTCACGCTTTAATACTAAAAAAATGGGCTAATGGTTGTAGTTGTTATATAGAGAAATTTATATATAGACAATTCAAACTTAAAAACAAATGAACGTAGGCGAAGGTTTATTTTATTTTCATGTTGGCACGGGCCTGACCTCAACCTGAAGATCTACTCTGGTTTAGAAAACCAGAACAAGCACATGAAGCTGAAGTCTGAAAATGGATCCGCTAAAGTCTTCTTCAACAACATTCTCACTTCTCAGCAGTCCATCAAGCCTTTCAACCTCGCAACTCAGGAGAAGAAGCTTCAAATCATGAGTTTCGTCATGATCCTTCGTGGAGACAATGTCTTGCTCCAGCAACAGATTCAGAACAACAAGATTGATCTGCAGATCGTAGCCACCTTCAAACTCAAGGCTAATTGGGCTTCACTGCATTACACGTTCAGTTTACTTGGGAGATACCATCTTCAGACAAAAGGCAAGTCCTAACAATCCATTTATATGTACGTCAAACTAAACATGTAAACAATCATCTTCATCGTGGTTGCATAATGTTTTATGGTACTCTAAAATGATTTATAGTGTTGGATGAAAATAAATTTACTTCTTTTTGTAGTTCTTCAACATTGATGCAAATCTAGAAAAAATGTAAATGTTTTTTTAAAATTTAATGTCTCTTATTATCTTTTAACTAGTTGTTTTTCCAAATTTAATCACTTGATCTCCATTTGTCTGTTTCTAATTGAAATTAATACACACAATTAAAATTAGATTATCTAACATATATATATTAGATATATGTATGTATATTTTTTAACTTCTATGTTTTTGTTCATCCAATCTTTATTCTATTTTTGGCTTGCATAATTTCTTTATATTATATTTTTAATATTTAATTTTAATTTTTTTTGTGGATTATAATTATTTGTGAAAGACAGTAAATATAAAATCTTATGAGTTAATTAAATCATTAAATTTTAGTTTAACTTGATTTGATTATTTTTTTAATTACAGTATGTGACACTTTCCAATGAAAAAAAAACTCTCCAATTAATTTATATCTTTAATTTGCATTCATTATGTATATCTTAATAGAATGTTTTTAACAAATATATTCACATATAAACACATTTCAAATTTGTCCATATTTTATGTAAGTTTCCTCCATCAAAACTTTCTTTTTTCTTTCTTGATTAATAAATGGTAAAAATTTGCAAGCTGTCTTGTTCACTACTCTCCAAAGTCCAAACTCTTTATAAACCCTAAAGAAGCTCTTTATCATTTCTTCATCAAACTTTTTTTTATAAAGAGCTCTTCATCATCTTCCTTGTTCGCTTACACTATGGCTTCTCTCCTTAACCAAGTCCCTTCTGTATCCACAGTTTTCGCCCTATACACATCTTTATCCGCAATCATGATGATTCTCCGTAACATCCTCAACGAGATTGTACCTCAGCCAATCCGAGATTACATCACTCCGAAAGTTGTAGCCTTGTTCTCTTCTTACTTTCAGTCGAGTTTCACGTTTGTGATCGAGCAAAAATGGGATTTTTGCGATAATCAGACTTTCCGTGCGGCAGAAGTTTACTTAACAACGCGTCTCGCCGGACTTTCAAGCCGAGAACTCCTCGTGGGTTCGAGTGATCTCAAGAATCCAACGGCTGAGCCAAATCTCGGAATCCCTCCCAACACAAAGATTGTTGATGAGTTTGAAGGGATTCATCTTGAGTGGACTCTACACTCTGTTGAGACTAAAACTTATCCCTACGAGAAACGGTACTCTCGGTTTTTTTCTCTACTCCTTGACATTAATCTTAATCTTTTCTTGTTCTTACAATGGTGGTTTTGTGAATGTTTCATTTTAGATATTTTAATCTGACTTGTAAGAAGGAGTTTCGTGACAAGAAAATGAAAGATTACTTCACATACTTGGCGAAATCAGCAGAGAAGATAATGAGACATCGCGAAGATCTCTACATCTACACTTACAACCGAGAAGGGTCATCATGGCAAGCAGCCATTTTCGAGCACCACACGAGCTTTGAGACCTTAGCTATTGAGCCGCAACTTAAGACCACTATGATCGACGATCTTGATGCTTTTTCTAAAGGAAAAGACTTCTTCAAGAGCGTGGGACGCGCTTGGAAACGTGGATATCTTCTTTACGGTCCACCGGGTACCGGAAAATCTTCTATGGTGGCTGCAATAGCTAATCACATGAACTACAATATCTATGATCTCCAGATTCAGAGCGTTAGCGATGATGGTGAGTTGCGGAAGATTCTTACCGCCACCAAGAACAGGTCAATTCTTCTCATTGAAGACATTGATTGTGGAGCTGATGCGTCTCGTAGACGCCAGACCAAAAATGAAGAAGATGTTGAGCTCCAAAAGCAAAAAAAGAAACCTGACCTTGGGGTAATTTAACAAAATTCCTCTGTTTTTATCAACCTCTCTGTTTTTGAACCTTATGAATCTTCTTTCTTGTGGACAGATATCTTTGTCTGGTCTATTGAACTTTGTAGACGGGCTTTGGTCGAGCTGCGGAGAAGAAAGAATCATAATTTTCACAACCAATCACAAGGAGAAGCTCGACCCGGCATTACTGAGGCCGGGAAGAATGGATGTTCACATTCTCATGGACTATTGCACTCCATTTGTCTTGAAGAAGCTTGTGGCTATGTACCTAAAAATTGATGACCATGTCCTTTTTGATCCCATTGAGAAGCTTGTCATTGAGGTGAATGTAACTCCTGCTGAAATCGCGCAGCAGCTCATGGCGAGTAAGAACGCTGATATTGCGCTCAAAGGTCTCCTCGAATTCCTCGAAAACAAGAAGATGAAGAAGGAAGAAGATACCAAAGTTGAGGAAGAGGGTGAGATTGAAGATGGTGAGACTAAAGAATAAAAGATGCTCAACCATAAGTAGCTCTTTGGTGCTATTAATTATCTTCAAGACTTAATTAGAAGTCACTTTATATTTCAGTTTTACTACAAATTGTTGCTGAAACTACATGTTGGTTGTGTATGCGGTGAGACTGAGTCTCCTAAACATAACTATTTTTGTTTATTATAACCCAATAGTTTGGCTAAAAACCGGAACATGGAAAGAGAAGGCTACGACTGAACTGAAGTTTATACGTTCACATTAGAACACTATGACTTTGATTCTTTCTCAAGAAACCTCGAACAAAACAACAGTACCCCATGCGTATGCTTCTTGAACCAGCTTTCTTGATGCATCTGAGATGTCTTGTGTTATTGGCTTATTGCCACGGCATGCTGCAGAATTAGTTTTGAGAGTGTGTTTATAATTGCTATAACTGTTAATATCATATTAATGAAACTGTTTGGCTATTACAAGAAAAGCCTATGACATTGAAATCTTGGCAAAAAAGAATAAAAACAAGAATTCAATATAGTGAACACACAAGATAGTGAGGTCATGATAACCAGAGCTGCATCAATGAGCGAAAACGTTTGCGGTGACGTCGTGCGGTGATGATGTTTCTGATCTCTTTGTGAAGCTGTTTGAAAACAGTTGCTGGCGGGATTGTATGCTGGTTGTGGACGACATTATTGCGCTGTTTCCAAATGTGATAAATAGAAGCATGAGCTGCGATCTTCCTCAGAAGAGAAGGTGCCGTGTCAGAGGAAGCCCGAATCCAAGTCAGAAGCTCATTCCACGAGAGGAACAAGGACCTGTTTGGGTCAATTCGCGCGAAGACCAGAAGCCAAATTGAAGCCGAGTAGCTGCAGTTGAGAAGCAAGTGATCCCTGGACGAGTGTGTTTACTAGTTACGTAAGTTGTGCAGCAAGAACGTTCTCAATAAGTCACATCAAGAAAAATGTGCATTTTGAAAACTAAAGTGTAAAGCAAATGGATTGAGATGATAATACATTACATAGTCCATCGCTAGAAATAATAATAAACTTCAAGTGGAGAGACGAGGGCGTTTCATGGCCGAGGAGAAAGCAGAGAACAAGCGGAGAGCGGTTTCTCAGCCATAGTTTTTAGTTCCACATCTTTTTTTATAATAATTATTTTTTATTTAATTTGGATAATTTGTTATTTTAGATCTGAATTTTCATGGACTCTAATTATTTTTAAATTTTAAAAATTTCAATATTTTTAGTAGAGTTAGTTTAAAATTTTATTTTAGTTCTATAATAAAATAAATCAATATTAAACCTCTTCTTACTTGGTGGAAGCCCTTGACCCATTGGTTGACTAAGGGTTAACTAATGCTTCTATACCAAAAAAGTCTGGGATTCGAGTCTCAGATACTGCGATTTATTAATAATTTGCAGATTAGTGGAGGCAAGTGTGCTAGAGATCTCCAGCGATATACAATTATAGTCGTTCGCCAGGATTTTACGCAGAGTGAGAAGTGTCGTCAGGTCGTGGATCATTGAAGGTGTCCATCAAGAGCATGAAGAAGGAAATATCGTATGTCGTGGATCTAATAAGGGTCGGAAGGAATTGTCCGTTGTAGAATCGTTTATGTAACAGTTCTCATAATTTGCAATAAAATAATAAATCTAGACGTAAAAAAAAAACTTCTTCTTACTCCTCTCGGAAAGTACTTCTCCCGCCAAACTCGACTACAAGCACAAGCAGCGGACCGTGTTCATCCAGCGAGTTGAATGAGCATAATAAGCCGTCTCCACACAGTTCCCCTAGGAATAACGGTACTCCAGTACATCGAACTTTGCCAGGCTTAATCAATGAAATCATGAGCAAAGGCAAGAGGATGGCATAAAATGAGCTCTGTAACGCAGTCTTGCCGGTATTATTACCCTCGCTCCTTACCAAATATATTTCTGATATGAGACATATCATCCTCTAGGTCATAGTCACTGATATGCAATAAAAACAAATCCTAATAAAATATATACTAACCAAAACAGCTTAATGGCAAACAAAAAAGGGAAAATTAGAAATAAAGGATGTTTTACTTCTCATTTGTCCATCTATAACTTATCTAGATAAGTTTGGTGAAATAGGTTTTATAATAATCAAAATCCTATTATGCCCTTAATTATAAAATTAAGAAAATAAATCCTAGTATTTTTGGCTATAGTTGTCGAAGGTTTTGGTTATAGCTAAATCACGTAAGCCTCTTTTCTTAAATGGATCATTTCCATTTCGTCGTAGTAACTTTTTTTTTTTGGTGTGGAAAATTTTCAAATTGTTAACAAAATATGATTTTCTATTTAGTAATGCTCGTGACATATGTATTCATTCTATAAATTAGTCAAGACAATTAACAATGATGCTAAAAGCACTATTATCTTACCATTTTAAATCTAATTGAGTTGTTTCTAGTTGAATGTGGCTCGTCACATTGCTTATTTTAAGGGGTTAATGTCAATGTTCAAGAAAATGTTTATGTGAAGAGAGTCAACGCTAAGATTAGTGAATCAATAACTAAATACATCAACCATATTCAGTTCTATATTATAGTCTTTTGACACCATCATTTTCAATCTTTCAAGAGTTGTAACAGATTACAAAGCGAGACGTTCTAAGAACTTTTTTTGTTTTTTTTTGCGATTTTAGCTTTATTTTATTCTCAAAACTTAGACTATGTTTTCTAAACTCCTAAAATCGTAATCTAAACTGACAATATACTATTTAAAACGTAATATTTAATAAATAGTCAATTTCTTTTTTGAAAGATTTACTTTCTATATTTAGGAATTCTAAAAATTTCAGAAATTGAAATCTATATTATTTTAGAAAATAGATTCTAAAATAATAATACATATTCTAACGTTTTCAGAACATGTAGTAAATCGTAGAATGAATTTTCTGAATAAAATTAGAACTGAAGAAAAGCGTAGAATACATGTTCTACGGATTTTTGGAAATTGTAGTCCGGTCTTCTGAATCTGTTAGAACATGTATCTAATCTAAAAGTCATAGAACATGCACAAAAGTTTAGAATAAAAACTCTGATTTTCGTAGAACATGTACAAAAGTTTAGAATATAAACTCTGATATTCGTAGAACACTAGAAAACGTATTCTAATAATTTTAGATGAAATTTTATCCATCAAAAAATCAACTTTTTTTTCAACTAAATCATCAATTTTTTTTTACAATTCATCTATAATCTTGTATATCTACATGTTTTTTTGGTAAAATCATTCAAAAAATGCTTAAAATAGAGAGTAGGGGTATTTTAGTCCAAAGTGACATTCTCAGAAAAAAAGTGTATATAGTCAAACTTTTTTTTAGAGCTCCTTTATTTCTAATTTTCCCAACAAAAAATATAAGATTACATGTCCATCGCATGTATTTAACCATTTAATTGTCTAAAACTGAATTTCAAAAGATAGATTTGTATCTAAATATAAATAACACACCAAACAATATAAATGATATATGCAAGCTTACCTTCTCTAAAAATAGGCATGTGTAGCCATGTATTCTGTTATACTTCGTGTAGCTGAGTATCTTTTTTCCTTTTTCTTTTGATCTTATACTTTGATCTGTGACGAATGGCTATAGACTATAGTGTAATTTACAACAAAGACACAAATTACATACATGTCGGTTGTTACATTCTCCAAATTTTCAGGCATTGATTCACCTATTGACTTCCACACATCCAGTATATGCGATCGAACGTAACCATCAATTATTATTTTTGAGTCAACGGTTAGTTACTAAGATTATCCTCAAAATATTTTTATGACCAATAAAAAGAGAAGAAAAACTTTACCAATAGAATGAAGTTAGAGAAACGGTGGTGTTTCCGAATAAATTAATTTGCTTGGTAAGAAAATATGAGACAATATATTTGTTTTTATAGAAGTGAGTATTTACAATTTTTTTATTATAGGATTAATAAATTATATAATTTCCTTAATCTTTTTTTCTATTTTCAAATCCTTTTTCTTGTACAGTTAGTAACTTATAAATAAAACGTGTAGAATAATTTTACAATTTCGATTTTTATGGAAAATATACATGTAATTTTTTATATATACGTATAGTTTCTTTATAATAATCTTTTTATATTTTAAAACTGTTTAATTTTATAATTTTGTCATAATAATCTTTTTACAATTTTTAATTTATAAAACCAAATTTTTGTTTCCCACATGGCAAAATATTTTATGGAAATATAGATATAATATCTTTATAATTATCTTTACATTTAAAACTGTCTAAATTTATAATTATATTTTTCCTTTTTTTAATTATTACAAAAATATTTGTTTGACACATGGCAAAATCTAAGAGCTATAGATTTGACACGTGTCACGATCACATGAGTTACTAATTTTGAAAACCATACTTTATATAATAAGAAGATGGACTTCCATATATATAGATAATCTATTTAGGTTTTTTAACAATAATAATAATAATTTAATATAAAAAATGAAAATGTAGTTAAAAATAGAAAAAAATCATGAAATATTTTTAAACAAAGGGCCACATTTTAATAAATTTTCCTTAGGCCTCTAATATGTTGGATATGCTGTGTGTATATATGTAAAATATAAGTTCTTTCTTGGAGATAATCACAAGCTCATAACAACACAATAAACAAAGAAAAACAAAAGAGAGAAGAAACTTGCAAGAAAATATGAAGTTCGCTGCAATCTTCTTGGTTACTTGTGTCTTATTCTCCCTTCTCCCAAGCCACCTGTCACAAGGTCTTCTAATCATTCTACTAATGTTACCATTTTGCTCATCGAAATTCGGTTGACCTAAACCAATTTGGTTTAACTCTTTTTATTGTTGTTGAATAATTAGGTGAAAAATCAAGCATGGATCCTACGAAGAGGCCGTGGTGTCCGTCGAAAAAACAAGTGTTTGGTGGTCATTGTGGAAACGATGGAGCACAGGCTTGTCTATTTCTTTTAGCAAGTAGTTGGGATAATAGTGTAAGGCATAGCTCCATCTCTTGCAATTGCACTGATTATCCTAACTACAAAATTCTCTGTAGTTGTCCTAATATGATTTGCCCCTAGAAAACGTTTATATAAGATCTCAAACTGTTGTTCTAAATCATTTTTCTAGAATAATGTTTCAGTTTCTGAT